GGGTGAACAGCAGGTCAATCGAAGTACAAATTAGCCTGCATTAACTTGAGGGAGATGGTGGCGAATGAGAAAGTGTGCGTGAACATTTACAAGCTTCAGCTGCGGACAAGACCGAAGCAGAGGGAACTTTCTCTCTGTTTCCTTGTACTGTATTTTACATGCCTCTTTGTGTCACGCGATAACTGCCATTCGGGAAACCGCAACAAATTCAATCGCACACTTCCAGTTTTAGTTTTGTCACGTGAAATGAGAGAAGCACAGCCCTGTTCATCCTTCAACAGGATATAGTTTTCAATTGACTTGTTTTACTTTTCATGAATTTGAATATTGATCAACTTTTTATTCAGCCATTGACGAAGGCTGAAGTTACAATAAGAACTTCTTTCTTTTGTTGCCGTTTGCATTTCTCTTTCTGATTCTTGGTTTCTCCTGGTCTCTATCCGTTGCGCCATGTACAGCTATGTCTCAGCCACATACTTAACTATGGCTCTGTTTAGTTTTTTAGTTCAGTTCATTAATTCATAGCTGGTACATGACTCTTAAGAGAACTGAGCAAAATAGCCTTTTGTTTTACTTGATAATATTGTTTTCTAATATAGAACCAAAATAAGGATGCCGTAGATCAGGGGTCCCCAACCTTTTTTGCCCCACGGACCGGTTTATGTCAGACAATATTTTCAGGGACCGGCATTTAAGGTGTGGCGGAAATAATGCAACAAAATAATATGGTATGAGCTGCATGAAAACTGTGGTGTTTTCGAAATATAATAATAAACACAAGGAGCGTCTAATCTGGCCGCAACACTCCAATCGCTATGGCAATGTTTAATGCCTTCAAAATACGATACAACGCAAATTCAAAGTGCATGAAAATGACGACTCACCACAGCACCGAGCTTGATTTTCTGCAACCAGACGGTCCCATCTCGGGGTAATAGGAGAGACAATGACACCGCAAGTGTGTGGTTTATGTCCAGTCTACTTCGTAATTTTGTTTTCGTCGCCGTTGCTGCATAATCCCCCCCGCCTCACACAGGTAGGATGTCGGAAATAGCAAAAGTGCTATTGTGGCGATCTCAGAGTATTCAGACATAACTTTAATCCAGTTGTCTCGAACGTACTTTTAAGGCCGCCGTCATTTGCGATCTCCAGCAGTTTTTTTACTCATTTTGCGAGCTCCGGTGTTTGTTTTTAGCCTAATTGGTCGCGTTACGGAGAAGCGTGGCTTGACGGGTGTCAAGCTGGACACAGACGGATGTAACGGAGAACCCGGTAAGTTTTCAAAATAAAACATCGTTCGTATTCCGAAATAAATAAAACGGAATTAAGGCAAGTTCTTTCTGTGCGGCCCGGTACCAAATGCCCGGCGGACCGGTACCGGTCCGCGGACCGGCGGTTGGGGACCCCTGGCGTAGATGACAAAAATTTCACAGAGAAAGATCATCTGAAATAATGGACATAGATTGAGGGATTGGGAAGTGAATATTGGGGAAATAAATGGGAAAAGTAACCCCTATGCCAACGGAGGAGTGTGGACAGTGAAATAAAAAGTTGTGTGGTAAAGTAATGTAGGGGGGAGGAGAAAACAAAGGGAGAAAGTGGGAGAGAAGAAGAGGATGTATCAGTGTTTAAGGGCTGCGGGAGGATTACAGGGGCTCTCAAAGGTCAGAACCCCCCCCCCCCCTCCCTTGCATGTGCAAAATATAAACAGCGAGGAGAGGATGTGGCAAAGCAGATAATTAGCTCCCATTCACCTAAGAGCAAAGGCTACTGGTTAATCACACTAAAAAGCACAGATAAACACAGGCTGTATCATGTCAAAAAATCTTTCTTTTGTTCCAACATTTAGGTCAGAAGAAAATAATTTCTGGCCATGCAATGGAACAACAATGGTAAATCAAGAAGGTATTAGGAATGATGGTTAAGAGAAGTGTTTCACTTGAAAATTGTACCTACAGTACAAATAAAGTAACTTCGACAACTAGATTGAATTGGCTCAAGATTAAGGAGAGAAATGTGTTTGTTTTTATGGAATCAAACCAAAAAAGGATTTGAGAACAAAAATAATGGATTTGAAAAGAAAAATGCAAACAGGACCATTATTTCTGAACTTGAAAAAAGTTCTGGGTTTGTGTTTAAAAAAAAAAAGTTCTCATGAAAGTTTTGTTTGCTTGTTGTAAAGTTTTAGTTGCAAGTTTAGAAATTTTGGATGCAAGTTTTGAAATTTTGTTGGCACCTTCTGAGTTTTGGTTGCACATCCTGCTCTGAACGATGTTCGAAACCTCTTCATTGATCTGCTCGAACTGATTGTGTGACAACGTCTGCCCTCATGTCGTTAGAGGAAGCACCAGGAAAAACACAAAGCCACAGATTCCGGGATACAGTCCACAATGGGATAATTGGTATGTTTATTCTCAACATTTCTTTCTTAAAAACAAACCTTTGTGAGCTGTCGTTTATCGACGGCCTTTGTCTAACCCACTGGTTCTTAATCTGGGTTCGATCGAACCCTAGGGGTTCGGTGAATCAGTCTCAGGGGTTCGACAGCCTCTGCCCTAGATAATAAGACACACCGACTCAACGTGTGAATTAGTTCGCTTGGCCATCACTGGCTGGTTCATTTTGTGCACAATTTAAAAACGTATACTTTATACTTATACTAATTGTGTTTACTTTTTTCTATTTTTAATAAATGCATTTTTTTATTTTTTGAATTTGTAAAAAGTCATATTTTTATTTTTCAGTCATGAAGGGTTCGGTGAATGTGCATATGAACTGGTTGGGTTCGGTACCTCTAACAAGGTTAAGAACCACTGGTCTAACCATTACAGTTAGCGTTATCATACATTTACAGTACATGCATCATTTTGACATGCTTCCGAGAGCTATTCACTCACCCATTCTCTGGTACCGGCTGTATAATAACGGAGACCAGGTGACGTAACAGTTTGACTGAGGCTGGTCATGATGTCATTCAATATTTGTGGTACAAGAAACGGCATGTAATATACAAGGCCAGGCGAAATGATCTGACACATTTGTAGGTTAAATAAAAGGCAACTAAAGTAAAGAAACAAAAAAGTGATTTTATTTTTGAAAAGTACATATAATGCCATTTCTTTTCATATAATGCCATTTTGCTTTGTTTCTTTAGAATGCCGTTGTTTTTTGTTTCTTTTTCAGTTGCTGCCATGAATTGGACTGGTGACATCGCACTTTCATTGTGGCAACATTTATCAAAACAAACGAATCTGTAACTGCAACACAACGAGTGTTCCATTTGCACTTCAATCTTGGTAGGCATGATCCCGTACCAGCTAGAAACGCAATCTTGTTATGGGTTACCGCCTTCAGAGCCACTGGATCTGCATTGAAATGAAAACCAACTGTCCGACCTCGCACCGCCAGAACTCCACTTAATTTTTAAAACATAAGGAAACAGAATGGCATGAAATCTGGTTGGAATTTTCAACTGTTTTGAGTCACTGAAATGAGGCTTGCTTGTGGGAATGGGAAAAAAGTCCTAAATGTAGAACTGAAGGGGAAAAAAGTATAACATTAGTGAGTTAAATAGATAAACAAATAAATGATTAAAATAACTGTTCATGTTGACATGGCCTCAACCTACATTCTGATTCATCACAAGCCACAATTAAGCCACTTTTCAACTCAACCGACGTAGAGCATTAGCAGGGATCTTACAGTAGGAACTATTATGCTATCTTTGGCAGGGAGTGTGTGTAAGGAGTGAGGATGGCAGGAAAGGGTGAGAGTGAGAGACAGGGGGACAGAGTGCACATTTCACTCGCTGCAATACAAATCACGCCAACCCATTTGACTCTTCCCAAATGATCACCATGAGCAACAGCTGTGTCTGTGCTTGAGTATCACGGCAGTAGATAGGTTCACGCAGCTCAAAAGTTGCAGCGTGCAAGAAAGATGCTGTCACATGTGTTTCAACAGTACGTAAATTGTGTGCTAGTTTGAATGTGCCTGTGTTGGCAGCTGTGGGGATAAACCAATACTGATCCGCTGGTCACCGCGTGCCTCCCTCGGGAAGGATGTTGATGTTGGTCTGGCTGTTTCTGCTCTAGAGTGAACTGCCTTTCTGGTGCACCACACACACACACACACACACACACACACACACACACACACACACACACACACACACACACACACACACACACACAAGTTTAAGTTGATTCTGTTTTTTAGTTCCCTAATTCTTGAACAAGACTATTTTTACCACCACACACACACACACACACACACACACACACACACATACACACACACACACACACGTGCACGCACACATACATACGTGTTTGTTCTGCAAATGCTAGGCCCCAGGGGGCTGGATCTGAACTTGTCTGAGATCTGTCCTTTAACACTACATAGCCCAGCTACAAAACAACCAGCTGTAGTCACCAAGCACCTCAGCAACGACACACATGGTTGTCACAGAAAACAAACCGAGGGATTTATATATATATAACACAGAGAGAGAGAGAGAGAGAGAGAGAGAGAGAGAGAGAGTCTGTCTGAGGGCAATGTTCACTCTCTTCTATGGAAATGATCATGTTTACTCAGTTGGTAGTTTGCAGTCCTACTGTTTTCAAATCCAAAAGATCTCGTGGGAATCGCACAATATCCCCATTGCGACATCATTCTCCCCCCCAGCCCCCACTATCTCCAACCCAAACTGTCCTCGCTCTAACCACAAAGACAATCCTCTGAGTAAACAGTCATAGTCCTAAGCGGAAGGAGGACTCGCTGCGATTGTAAAAGCAGAGAGGTCTGGAATTCACAATCATGTCCATACGTCACAGTAACAGCTAAATGAGCGACAGGTTAACATCAAGAATTGTACTGGGTCAATGTTGTTTTGGGGATATTAATACGACTGTATATCGAGGTCAAGTCGCCTAATTGGACACTCTTGCTATTCCAGGCTAATCTCCACTTGTTTTCGTCTATGTCACTGTTCCACTGACCTGGACATGTTCTCCTGATGATCACACAGTCTTTGATCTCAGAGATCTCAGGACATGGTCCGCCAAAAGGTGATGGGTACTGCAGGACCTGCCGTGTGCGGGTCTCCTGCCCCCGTTTGAAGCCACAGGTTCTCCCCGAGCGAGAGCAGGGAGTCCACTCGCTCCACTCACCCACTTGGCAGTGCACTGAAGGGAAAATGAAAATGAAGATGAGGGTGTGTGACACAGGCATGTTTGTTGTGTTTAGGATGTGTTCAAGTACTGCCATTGTTGGTGGTTGGTGTGAAGATGTAGATCAGCACCGCATTTGTTTGAACCATTTTCTCAGTCACATTTTATACAGGGCGGCCCACCGGGCGCATCAACCTCACAGTGCAGAGGTACCGGGTTCGATTCCAGCTCCGGCCTTCCTGTGTGGGGTTTGCATGTTCTCCCCGTGCCAGCGTGGGTCTTCTTCGGGTTCTCCGGTTTCCTCCCACATTCCAAAAACATGCATGACAGGTTGATTGAACACTCTAAATTGTCGGATGGCTGTTCGTCTGTGTGTGCCCTGCGATTGGCTGGCAACCAGTTCAGGGTGTCCCCCGCCAACTGCCCGAAGACAGCTGAGATAGGGTCCAGCACGCCCCGCGACCCTTGTGAGGTTAAAGCGGTTCAGAAAATGGATGGATGGATAGTAATTGTTTAATTGCCTGGGCCACCTTAGTTGGGGGTGGTCAGTTTTCAACTCCAAAAATGTACTGCAGGATATGAGGGTTTTCAATATATATAAATAGTACTATAAAGTATTAGCCCTTGCAAATAGAAAGTTAATAGAGATTGTAGCCGTTGTAAGTTTGAGAAAGTACTGTATTGCGGAAAAGGAACAAAAATGCATGTACACAGTTTAGGTCAGCTGATCATGCTGCATGTACCAGACGCACATCAAGTTATGTGTCCAGCTTGGATGTCATGCGCCTCTTGGCCAGACTCAGCTGGGAGGGGCCTCACAGGCTCAGCCGAGACCTTCAACAGCAGGGGTCCCCAACCTTTTTTGCCCCACGGACCGGTTTAAGTCAGACAATATTTTCAGGGACAGGCATTTAAGGTGTGGCGGATTAATACGACAAAATAATATGGTATGAGCTGCATGAAAACTGTGGTGTTTTCGAAATATAATAATAAACACAAGTAGCGTCTAATCTGGTCGCAACACTCTTATCGCTCTGGTAATGTTTAATGCCTTCAAAATACGATACAACGCAAATTCAAAGTGCATGAAAATGACGACTCACCACAGCCCCGAGCTTGATTTTCTGCAGTCAGACAGTCCCATCTCGGGGTAATAGGAGACAATGACACCTCAAGTGTGTGGTTTATGTCCAGTCTACTTCGTAATTTTGTTTTAGTCGCTGTTGCTGCAGAAACTCCCCACCTCACACAGGTAGGATGTCGGAAATAGCAACAGTGCTATTGTGGCGATCTCAGAGTATTCAGCCATAACTTTGATCCAGTTGTTTCGAACGTACTTTGAGAAGCCGGTAATTTTTCAAAATAAAACATCTTTCGTATTCCGAAATAAATAAAACGGAAATAAGGCAAGTTCTTTCTGTGCGGCCTGGTACCAAATGCCCTGCGGACCGGTACCGGTCCGCGGACCGGCGGTTGGGGACCCCTGTTCAACAGGACAAGCGTCCCAAAAGAATTCAACATAGTGTTTTCTGACAAACTCCTGTGCCGTGTTTTTTGTACTACCATGTGTGTCCGGCAAGTTGCGGAAGAGATTTGTTTTCCTATTAAATCCTTACGAGATCAAATAGTATACACGACTAACCTTGTGGTACGCACTCCATGAGTTTGTCATTGGGTTCATAATCATCTGGACAGACGCGGTGGCATCTTCCATTGAGCTGGTACAGGCCCGGCTGGCACCTTGTACATGTCTCGCTGTTCACACATAACTCACACTCTGCAGGACACTCTGCAACTATACAAATACAAATTGTATGTACACATCACCCACAGTTTTTATGAATCATCTCCACATCATTCCCAACCTTAATATGATGCACTTTGGTCATCCAACGCCACGAATGAAATGCTCAATTTCTCACGGGTATCCTGACCATTATGAAGCTAAATACTCACTGGGAACACACTCCCTCTGTGTATCGCTGCGGACCATGTCCTCGGGGCAGTTATTCCGGCAATCGCCGCGGTGAAGATAGAAACCTATCCGACAGCGCATGCAGAATTTCTTGTTGAAGCAGGAGTCGCACTCAGGACTGCACTCTTGACAGAGAAACACAGACCCACCACCAGTCTTTATTTAAATGGTACAAAACATTGCGTGTTTCCGCTTTGTTCAATATACAGGGTGTCACTGTGCATATGTGTGTGTGTGTGTGTGTGTGTGTGTGTGTGTGTGTGTGTGTGTGTGTGTGTGTGTGTGTGTGTGTACATGTTCTTCTGTCAGGAGAAAACTGTATTGTACTGAAGACAGATTGTACCTTACTGTTAATACATTCTTTTAATTACATTTTGCTAGAAAGAAATGTGACATTTAGCAAGTCAGATACTTATAGAGCAGGGGTAGGGAACTCTGGTTCTTTGAGAGCCATATCCTGTCTGTTTTCGATCCCTCCCTACTCCAACTCAGCTGATTCAATTGTTCATGATCATTTCCGGCCTCTACAGAGCTTGCTGATGAGCTGATCAATTGAATCAGGTGTGTTGAACTCGAGAGAAATCTAAAACAGGCAGGATATGGCTCTCGAGGAACCGGAGTTCCCTACCACTGTTATAGACTGTCGCTGATGATGTAGTGGTACACTCGCCCGACTTGTGTGCGGGCAGCGTGGCATCAATTCCCTCTCAGTGACAGTGTGATTGTGGGTGTGGGTGGTTGTCCGTCTCTGTATGTGCCCTGCGACTGACTGGCGACCAGTTCAGGGGTTAGCTTGCCTTCCGCCCAAAGTCACCTGGCATAGGCAGCTCCCCGCGACCTTGTTCAGGAGAAGTGGTGTCGAAAATGGATGAATGGATGGATGCTTACAGATAATCATATGCCACATGCTGCATGGGAAAATACATTTAGGGGTCGGCTCACACACAAACCGAACGAGGATTAGCAGTGAAGAAAAGGTAGGAAGGGATACTTTGTATTGTTGGATGTGAGAGATGATGTTGCGATTTCCCATTCCATCCATCCATTCACACACAAGTCTGGCCATTCGTACCAATTTGTCATGTTTGTGTTCATTTGCACGGGAAACGCCCACTTGCTTACTTGTGCACGTATTTCTTTCTCGTGAGCGGGTGCCGTAAAAGCCTGAAGGACAGGAAGTCATGCACACCCCGATCTGCTTCATCCCACTCCTCTCCAAATGCATAAAGAAGCGTGGCTTGCAGGAAAGGCAGCCATTGTAGTCAGAGCAGGTTAGACAGCCACCCTGCTGGCACCCTGAACTCACACCAGAGATCTCTGTTGAGAAGATACAGGGGCACAATTATGTATTACTATCACATCTTGGTAGAAAAGACAAAAAGGCCAAGTTTTCTTGTGATATCAGCCTCATTTTGTGTTAGTAGTGCAAGGGCAGCAACTGCTGCTTACCCACCACCCCCATAATCAGTCAGTTTTCTTGATGAAGTTACTCCAATGCATGTCAGTGAGAATTTCCTCCCTGGTGGGGATTACTAAGAAATTATCATTGTCAATTTTACAATGTGATTTTTTTTCCCCATTATGCGAATGTTTTCTTTTTAATTGTAATTTTGAATTCTGATTGGATCAAAGATAAGAGTTCTAAAAAGTACCTCGCAGAGATAATTAGAATAATTTGGGATTAAAAAAAAAATAAATCCGAACTCTCCGTATTTGTTTGTGTGACCACACAGCTGCAGTCAGCAGTGTGCACTCGGAGACAACGCTGTCGATGATGATGACTGGTCTTCATTTCAGAAACTGGTTACCGATTTGGCAGATGGGTCTCCGTCAAGCTGGGGTGGCTGGCACAGCAGAAGGAAAGTCATGGAGATGCGCCTGGCGCAAAGACAATTCAGTGGCAGAAAGTTGATTTAAACGTTATGCCTGCTCAGACCATGTCTCACACTGGCACAGGGTCTCAGAGCTGGTCTGAAGTGGTGTATTTCATTAAAAAATCTGGGAACAGCACACATTAAACTCTCTGAATCATTGTACCATATTATCCGGATGATAAATCACAGTTTTTGGTCTTGGTTTGGCCAAAGGTGTGATTTATACTCTGGAGCGACTTATGTGTGAAATGTTTAACACATTATATCATTGAAATTATTCACACATTATATAAGTTATTTTCACATTAAACCGCAAGAGGGGGCTCTCGGCCTGTGTTGATACTCGACACATTGGTGATAACTGATAAAAACAACTGACGATGATTCTGATGTAAGCGACGTGGGAGAGGAAGTGCCGCATCTTCTACCACCGGCGTTCGCGGGGTTCTTTAAAAGTGACACAGAGGGTGAAGATTTCATTTGATTTCGTGATTTGGAGTGACACTGATGCTTTGGTAAACTTGTTAGCGTATTCTTTGTGCCATTGTTGTCTAAATAACTCTTAATATGTCATGTGAACACCACAGGCACATTCTCAGTTCGTTGTTTATCCATCATGTAACATTAGCATATCGTACACTTATTCAGCCTGTTGTTCTATATTTTCATTTTTATTTTCCTTTCAAGATGACATGTCTGTTCTTGGTGTTGGATTTTATCAAATAAATTTCCCCCCAAAATGTGATTTATACTCCAGTGTGACTTCTATATGATTTTTTTCCTTCTTTATTATGCATTTTATGGCTAATGCGCCCTACACTCAGGAGCAATTTATAATCCGGAAAATGCGGAATTATATTTTTGTAATCATCCCGCTTGGACGGCACTACTGCTTGATCGGCCATGATTTAAGTCAGCTGTGGCCACTTTCACAGCGGCACAGCCCTCCCTCTCGCAGATCTGCTGCCCTGTGCTCATCTTTGAAATTATCAACATTGGGTCTAACCCGCCTCTGTACTGTGTTACACCACACGCGGTGCAGGATTTAGAGAGCCCGGTATCTTGACAGACTTCTTTTGTTAAAATAGCTGAATTTTCAGTGAATAATGCCTTTAAGCATGGCTGCCCAACAGCTGTGCGTTTAGCTGCATGTTTGGTCATTGTTTACTTCTTACTATCACTTTCTGTTTTCTTCGCCTTGCAAACGAAGGTAGAGCAGGAAAATGTTGACTCTAATTGGCTTCTCAAGCCTATTTCTGCTGCGTCTGATCAAGTAAATATGCTCACATCTTATCATTGTAATATCATGATTTTTGAGCAGAAGTAGGCACATCCAGGAGGTCGTTGGATGGGTGATTGGCATTTAATGGACATGCTCCACAAAGGAATATAAATAAAAAAATATATATTTGGTCTGTCTCTCCTTGTGGACCGGTGGATCGGTGGTTGGAATCCACTGGCCTATGTCATATGAAAGCAACGGCTCTGTTGTAATGCAGAATTCCTGCTTAGGGGACGACAGAATCTACACATTGCAGTTTTAAGGTTGCCCTATTTAGCAGACACAATAAGGGGCAAATTTTAATGAATAGTGCTGGAGCTCCATAAAGTTGTTGTCAGTTGGTGTGTTTACTTTTGATTTTTTATTATTGAAAAAAAATCTTTATTTTCATTTGTATTATATTTTCCTGTGTGATTTACTATATTTTATATTTAAACCTATTTATTATAGTTCACTTAAACTGTTTACCGAATTACTATCTATGAAACCTCCAATTTGGTTATACTATCACAAATCTTATAAGCATACACAGAAAGAACACAGTGATGCTGTATGTATGGTCCTCTTTGTGTACACTTGCAGTCACTGAGTGTGAGCCAATCACAATCGATGATTCCATGTGTGCCATATCCATCATACAAGTAAAGTTAAGCATTAAAATACTTCATCCACTATCGTAAATTGGATCTTTTTTTTTAAGACTTACAAACTTATATTAGTTTCCAAATAACTAACAAGGCACCAATTGAAATGGCTCACCACATATATTACAAAGTACAAGCAGCAATTACTGTACATGTGGGGAATTGTACTACACCCAGCAAATAAATGTAATTTACAATCGGGCATGGATGACTTACAAGTTGTCGTTTATGATTATGCATTGATGAACTCGTATCATGTGGACGCAGGCAAGCTGTTGCAGATGTTATGACAAAACAGTGAGGATGCAATGAGAATCCAAGAGCAAGATTGTTAACACAAAAGTGAACAGACAATTCATAAACAAACACGACCTGTAGTTAAATGTTAAAAACAATTTCGACACAGCCTGGACTGTCTCCTTATCAACTCATGTCCGTTACATCCTGTCCTTGCCAACACATAACATTCGGTTATTTTTTAATATTTCAGTTCTGCTTCAAAAACCTTTGATCCTCTTTTCCCAAATCATTCACCCTTGAACTCAACTGTTCCCACTCAAAATCTTAGAAGGCTAAGTGTCGCTGTACACTGTGACTTTGCAAACTACTTCAGAAGTAAAATCGATGACACAAGTCTTATCTTGTTTTTGAGCTTTTCAAAGTGTAAGTTTTAATAAACCTGCAGAGTCATTTTGACCGGAGGAAACGCGCTGGTTGACGCAAGGACACTTGGTTGAGTTTTCTCCCAGGTAAATCCAACACCCAGGAGGCATCCTAATCAGATGTCTGATTAGTGTGCCTCCTGCGCGCCTCCCTGGTCAGGTGTTCCGGGCATGTCCCACTGGCAGGAGACCCCGGGGACGACCCAGGACACGCTGGAGACACTATGTCACCCAGCTGGCCTGGGAACACCTCGGAATCCGCCGGGAAGAGCTGGAAGAAGTGGCTGGGGAGAGGAAAGTCTGGGTTTCCCTACTAAAGCTGCTGCCCCCGCGACCTGACCCCGGATAAGCGGCGGAAAATGGATGGATGGATGGGTAAATTCAACACCTTGCCTTTTAGATCCAATTCCCCCATCACTTATAAATACATTTTATGGATTCTTTGAGAAACGTATTTAGCATATAGTCAATTTCTCTCTTCAGACGGGTGTATTCCCTGGTGACTTTAAAATGGTGGGGCTGAAGCCCCTTCTGAAAAAGAGCAGTTTGGACCCCAGCGTTTTGAATTATTACAGACTTACTATCCAATTTATTGTTTTAAAGTAAGATTTTAGAGAAATAGTTTTTTCGCCAATAAAATCATTTTTAAAAATAAAAAGAATCTTTGAGAGAAATATCAATCTGGTTTTAGGATGAACCATAGTACAGAGACAGCTTTTTCAAGGATTTTAAATGATACCAGGTGCTATGCAGACGTGATAAAAACTCACAGTTTTGGTGCTACTGGATTGAAGCGCTGCTTTTGATACAGTAGATCACCACATTTTATTAAACAGACTTAAAAACCCAGTGGGCATCTTTGATACTAGTTTGAACTGGTTTTATTCCTGTGTGACAGACACATGTTTCTTTGTAAGAATGGATACTTGCTCCTCCAGAGTCCATGAAATTAAATGTGGGGTTCCCTGAGGTTCTATTTCAGGCCCAATAGTTTTTAATCTTTACATGCTTCCCCATGGGGGCGTCATCAGGAGACACAGCATCAGCTTTCACAGCTACGCTGACGACGCACAGCTTGGTATTGCCCTGTCTCCTGACAACACAGGGCCTATTGATACCCTTTTGAATTGTATTTTGGATATCAAGTCATGAATGGCAGGGAATTTCAATTCGGACAAAACTGAGGTTTTAGTTATTGGCCCTGAAGATCAGAGAGAGAAACTTTTACCCAAACTACAGTGTCCTCACAATGTGTGAAGAACTTGGGCGTAATTTTTTACTCTGAGCCTAGTTTGATTCCTCATGTCAAAAATGTAACTAAAAGTGTTAGTTAGTGTTATCATGTCAAGAATATTGTCATGGTTGATCTGTTTGGGACCAACAGGTGGCTCTGTAGTGCTCCTCCTACAGCAGCACACCTGTTGGTCATCATGTCATTAGCAGGTTTTCTGTTAAAAGGACTCCCGGCCCGACCGCTCAGTGTCAGGTCATTGTTGCTGTCACAGCTTCTGTTGGTTCATGTTTGTGCCTTGCTGCCATGGATTTTTGTTCGCTTTCACCTTGTTTTTATGCCTGCCATGGGTTTTTATTTTTGGAGTCTTGTTGTTTTCAGGACTATGTTCTGGATTTATTTTTCTCAATGTTTTGTTCAAACAGTTTGTCAAGTTCATCCTGCTCCTCCCTCCCTTCTGCCTGCTTTTTGGGGTCCTCCACCACGTTCGTGACAAATATAGCCAGAGTCCCCTCCCCACCCCCCATTCTCTTTTAAGTTTACACATCCTGTCACTGAGATGATCGTAATTCTCTGGTCTTCCTAAAAAGACTGTCCTCGAGAACTCAGCCGCACGAGTCCTGACAAGGACCAGAGGGTGGGAACACATTACACCAGTTTTAAAATTGCTGCGTTGGCTCTGTGTGCGTTTTAGGATTAATTTTAAGGTGCTTTCATTAGTTTTTAAATGTCTTGTCAGCATGGATGAGCTCCCCTTGGGTGCTCTTTTCTTCAAGGTTTCTCTGTGACTTGCTATGTCTTTTTAATACAGTTTATCAGTGCGTGTGCGCGCGTGCGTGCGTGCGTGCGTGTGTGTGTGTGAGCACAGGCATGCTTATGGACATATCTATCTATGTATGTTCAGAAGAGGGGGACGGTCATCTTATGTTGTATTTTGGATATGTTAATTGCACAGTACTTTGAGTTGCAATTTTGTGTATGGAACTTGTGACAAAGTTTGATTGGCTGAAGAATAAATTGAAGACAAAATATAGAAATCTTTTGAAAGGTGGGGCTCACTCCCATTCACTTGAATGTAATGACGCGGTACGTACGGCGTTCATGTACATTTTTGCTACAAGCTTTATTTCAACCACACAGGTACATATAAAATGAATGTCATAAAACACAATATATATGTACTGCAGATCATGTATTGCTATCACTTGGCAACACGAGACTGGCGGCTCAGTCTCCCTCGCGCAAAACCCGGAAATTGATTTTTCACCTGTGTTAAAACTGCTGTTCATTTTCATTAGTTATAATTTGCAACGTTGTGACATTGTGCAAGTGCGATGAAACTTTTGCACCACCACACAACCAGTGGCCAAGACTCAGCCACATGTGAAATCTTGTGGCAGAACCCCACACACTGGGTGAGTGTTCAAGGAGTTGCGCCGCATCGCTCAGTGTGCGGCGACCCTTAAAATGGAGGGATTTGTCTTTGTGCTCACCTCACACTGACAAACTCATATGGACAGTAATATTATGTATAACATACTAAGATGTTCACACACTTATAAAACAGCTCACAAGAACACAGGTGAACAAAAAGATGCCATTGGTGTGTTAGTTGATATAAAGGTGACATTTATTCAAATTGTGCTCTTTACATATTAATAATTAATCAAGTTTAAATCAAGAGGAAAATCTGGTGGAGTCGGTGAAATTTTCAGCACCAACCTCCCTTTCCCTTAGAATGCACCGAAAGAAAGCCTTGGCCATGCGTTATATGATACTGCATGGTAACTTTGGACAGTTTACTTGTCGTCTCTCTAAATGATCCCCCTGCTCACAGTAAAGAATATCGACTTTAGAAGTGTTATGTGTAAAGACCCTCTGATAATCCCACATGCAATGGACTATCCTTTATATAGCGTATAATGCAAAAAAAACAAGTACATAAGTTTAACAACAAGCAAAGTCAATTAATGTGTATGGATTAGAACATTTATTGCACTTCATCACTCATCCTTGGGACAACTGAAAGGCAATATATAAAGTCATCTCAGAAATTGAGACTACCGGTAATTGTCTGAAGAAAGTTTCTTGCATGCTATTTTTTTTTCCTGTATCCACTATTACTGCTGAAACAAGGCACATTTCCAATGTGTGGGACTAATAAAGATTATCTTAAGTTACCTTCAAATTTCTGATTGTATTCCAGTTGGCAACCCCACAGTAGAAGTATTATTTAGATTGTGTTCCAATTGTGTGTGCTATTAGCAATACTTGATAACTCAACAATGGTCAAAGTGGTGTCTATCGCAAATTTTCATAATATTGTGAATTAGGTATACTTCTTGAGTTTCATTGTCATTTATTATTTAATTAGTAACTTCTTCATTATTATCAGCGTGTTTTTTTGTTGACTGCCTGGGAGAATTCCTTTCCAATCAGGCATGTCGGCAGTTCTAAAAAAGTTCACATTATGAAATAGTCACTACAATAAAGTTTTAAAGCACAGGCACATTACAACATCTATTTAGACAAGACTCCACGAACACTAGTTGATATTTTTGAAATGTTTTCTGTTTTTTTTTTTTTTTTTCGTTTTGTTTTCCAGGGGTGATATCTGAAGTAATATCCTGGCTTCGGATTCATACTTTTGGAAAGCCAGGCTCGGCTTTGACAATGAGCGAAGCTACCAAATGCTGAATGTAACCCCAGAACTCCCTCAAAACTCAATTTAATACAGTGCACTGTCATCTCTGGAGGCATTTATCTCGCAAATTTGGTGGTCGCAAAAAGTCCTCATGATGGATAAAACCGATCAGGGGTCGATCATGAGAGGTAAAGAAAACGAGACATATGTGGGAAAAGCTCTATTATTTTGCTGTAGATCAGACACATTTTTCTGCCACGTTGGCAGGGAAAACGTGGAATATTACACTTATCAGCTTGTCCCTAACAGCTTTGGTCAAATAACATATCTGGAGACCCTCAGCGATAAAGTGGGTGTAGGAAAAATTGAAAAAATACACTATTAATTGTTGTTTCACAGCCTGATACTAGGGGGCGAAAGCGATGAGGCATATTGTTGGATCCCTGGGAGATGGGACATTCCATCCCATAAGAGTTATTCCCCGGCTTTAACAAAGTAAACACTGGCATTTTTTTTTCATTAGGGTATTTTCTTTTAGAATATGTTCTCAGCATTCAAAGGCCAACCTCCGTTGTGTTTTGATCAGATGTTAAAAGTAACTTGTATTTTAACAAACGTGCTGCATATGAGACAACAAAATGAGCACATACTTTTCTTTATAACACCTGTCATTTCATTGAAAGTACATGTACTTGTCAGGATTTCGCGTGGTCTGGTTCATTGTAGCCACTAGGGGGCGACTGAAACCAGTTCACTCAGCACCATACACGGTACAGCACAGCGGAGGAGAGCACAGCAAACAGTTAAACCACTGCCAATTAAGTCATCCACTTAAGCCAGTCCAGTTAGACGGACACTTTTGACCAACAGAAACAGTGGTCCCTATGCGGATTAACCTAAACGTTAAAACGTGTACTCACTTTGTTGCAAACTGTTGTTTTGAGTACCTACAAATGCACAATGAGTGAGGTAAATTAGGGTAGCCTAAACCTAAATATTTAGGGGCACAAGGGGACTGACTACTCCTGTCACAGTGTGCTGAGTGGAGCTAGACCACGAGGGTGCTGAACATGTCATTTTGGCTAACTGCATTTTTAGAAACTATCAGCGATGAAACATTTCTGAATTTGTTTATATAATAATCATACTAATAAGGATAATTTTTATTTGTCAATATTATCATATTTATGGTTGTATCCGTTGTGTGCAGGGATTGCAATGAAACCGTAAGGCAGTATCATAAAGTAAGTGTTTTCAGGTTTCTTACTCACGTTTATGTTGCCAGTGCCTGGAGGTGTTGTGCTGCTGGCATCCAGTGTAATCCATGCAGTGCAAGATGATCAAAACAAAGGAGATCAGTTTTAATTGCATAGTAGCCCAAAGATGTGACCGGTAAAAGCCAATGTCAATGTTCACCGAAAATACGAGGTGGCTCAAAGAATCCCTTTTCGATAGTGGCAGAAAGTGGATGGTGGATGACTTCTGTTTAGACAGAACGCGGCCCCCAGTAATGTGGTGATATTTGGTGATGAAAGTGCACAGTGGCCCAATGATGCCTGGGCCGCTTGGACTGTAACATCCTGCACGGGAGCTTCATATGTGCAAAGAAAGCCAGAAAGACAACAAGTCAGGCATCCGAGGGTATTCTTCCCAAACAAAAAGCAAGAATATCATCTGGATAAAACGAGGGCACTATTGAAATGACTCAGTGAACGTTTAAATTATGATATCCATGGGGAAAACTCCAAGTGGCCTCCTCTCGCTCCTCCGCTGCGTCCAGGTGGAGGCGCGCCGTGCGTCCTGGTGCTGGTGGCGCGCTGATGGGCTCCCCTTCATTCAGCATCAAAAGTTACAAAATACACCCTCACAAACAAGACCAACCACTCATTAGCACACAATACTAAAGTAAATTGCGAGATCAAACTCGCACGTCCCCTTTGTGGTAGACGCCTCTAAAAAGTACATCTCGAGCGCTTTTTCGCCTTGCGTGCAGCAGTCATTCCCTCCCCTCGTGTTGTCTCTCTCTCTCTCTCTCTCTCTCTCTCTCTCTCTCTCTCTCTCTCTCTCTCTCTCTCTCTCTCTCGCTCACTCGCTCGCTCGCTCGCTCGCTCTCTATCTCCCCAACTCCCCCCGCCCACGAGCTCGAAAGTTTATTTAGAGGGCAAGCCCCCGCGTCAAGAAAGAGGGAGAGAGTTTGCAGTCTCTCTCGGCCTCCTGCCTGCCACCGTGCACCCTTGCCTTGCTATAAAGTGTTGGCATCAACAGAAAGTGAAAGTAAAAAAAATCCTCATGATTCTTTTATGAAAAAAATTATATATATATATATATATATCTATATATATATATATATATATATATATCAGAGGCGAATGCTCTAAGACGGCAAGAGGAGCTCAGCTTCCCCTAAAATGTCAAAAAGTAAGTGATCAAATATATGTGTGTACGTACAATTGCGTGGACATGTCATTGACTAAATATGTGCTTCAACGCGCTCAACTTTTGTTCCGAATCAGCTTCTTATTACTGGTTACAACGCGACTCTCTTCTTATTCATTCCCACAACTTCACTGTGCTTTAAACTGTGTGGACGCTGAGCGTCTTGAGCAGGCATGTCCAGCTCCGGGCCTGGAGGGGCACTGTCCTGTCTGTTTTTCAGCTCTCCCGGCTGCAACACACCTGATTCAGATGATCAACTTATCAGCCAGCTCTGAAGCAGCATTAGAACATTCCTGATGATTTGAATCAGGTGTGTTGCTCTTGGGAGAGCTGGAAAACAGGCAGGACAGCGGCCCTTGAGGACCGACTTTGGACACCCCTGGTCGAGAGAGTTCAGTGTAGGTTGTCCCAATGCATTGAAACGAGACGAGTCATTGGATAAATGCTGGTTTTGTCCCGCCCATCGGACGCTCAGCGTCTGGGAGTCTATGGACAGTGGGCGTTTATAGGTCTTGTTGGTATGACAGGGTCACAGATCATTTTCTTGAAGAGGAACGTAGAGTAGAATTCACGTATAAATAAACAGACACATTTTATGATGTCGGCCAAAATTGAGTTTCCCATCCTTGACAGACCAGCATCCGCCACTGATATATATATATATATATATATATATATATATATATATATATATAGTGTGGGGCACTAACTCCATAGAATGGGTTTAAATATCGGACTCTTTGTTAACGGTACATTCTTTAAAGTTATATGCATTTTATCAAGCTGTAAAAGTCAAGTCTCACAAGAAAGTAAATTAAACATAGTCCTGCACCTAAACGGATACAGTACTATGTAATATGTTGCATTTGTATTGTGTTATCATCAACATCTACATTTTGAATTCATAGATAGAACATGAGCCCAAAAGACTTTTACTCATTTTACTTTGCCAATCACCAACCCATTTAAATCTGATCCATGACCCAATTTAGGTCCTTACTTTGGGAGAGACGGCCAAGATGCAAGCCCCATTTTCATTGACAGTGTTGAATGCTACATGCTACTCCTTTCTGACTGGAATTTTACAAATATCTGTCTCAGGGGTTTTGCCCCACAGGCCCTTGATATAACTTGAAAAATAAATATTTTAAATAAATATTTATTATTTGGTACTATTTAAATACACTTTCATGAAAGTAAACATACAGTAAGTCAGAAAGCACATCAGCAATCCGTTGTAACAACCTTAGATACGACAGTAATACAATTTCTTGAGTTAAAGGAGTGGATGGGAGGTTTTCAACAGTGTCATAACTTACAAAGCAAGAGTGACATGGAACACATCTCCTCTAGAGGGAGTCAGCTCCATGGAAGCACACAAGAGCCAGCGAGCATCACAACATTATGGACAACTTGTACTCGCACTTGACCTCCCCTTGTAGAGTTACAACTCTGTGTTATTGAAATGTAGAAGCAAGAGAAGAAAAAAAACAAAAAACAACCAAAAAAAAAGAAACCAAAAAAAAAAAAAATCAGCATTCTTTCCCCTTGAATAATGACAGTGCATCTATAAATACAGTCGTCATACAATGCAGTCATTACTGCCACCAGACCTTCAGTCAACAATCACATTTAGATATGCTTAAATGCTGAGACGTTGACATGCCTCCTTGTTTAATGAAATCTGAGCAGAGCAGTCAGAAGAGGCCCTGAATCCTCATTTGTCTTTCGAGGGTGGATGTGTATGCAGAAAAGTATACAAGAGTCCAATACTACTCTTCTCTGTGGCTTCTGGTTTTCCATCATCTTTGGGCCGAGGAAATCAATGCAAACACAGTGGTCTTTCTCTTTATGGCACTACTTCCATGTTTGCCCCGCTCAAAGCCAGAAACAGTACAGTCAAGCTTAGCTGAGTCTGATTCATTGTTTCAAACCCTTTCACCTCCTGTGAGCCTGCTTTCTCGAACTCCACATTTGATCCTCCATCATGGATGATGAGTGTTAGGAAATAACATACACACCTGTGGCAAGTTTCTTTTATAGTCTGATTTGGACATTGAACACCAGAGTTGCTCTGCTAGACTCATTTAGAAAAATAAATTTGATCTAACACAGGGGTCGGCAACCCAAAATGTAATATAGGACAAAAAAAAAAACACAAAAAACAAATACAGGGTGTTCCAAAAGTCTTGCGCACATTTTGACATTGAATATCTCGGAAACTAATAAGGATATAAAAACGCATCTGGTAAATTCAGAATGCTTGTAATCTCAATTTTTACATGGAATGTTCAAAGATGTTCAACGTGAGCACCATTGGTCACACGACACACATCAAGCCGATAGTCAAATTCTTGCCAAACGCGTCCCAGCATTGCATTGTCAATAATGGTTGCAACAGCTTCTGTTATTCGTGCTTAAAGCATAAGCACCCATCCGTTATGAATTTACCATGCCGTTTCACTATGGACTTCCTCTCTGGTGGCTCCTTTCCGAATTTTCTGCGAAATGCACGTTGAACAACAGTCCATGATTCAGTTTTTTCAAATTCAAGCACACAAAACACCTTTTCTGATTGAGTGAACGCCATTAATGGGTCTGAAAAGAAATAAAAAAATCAATAGCCTTGTGAAAAACTTACCGGTAATGTAATTAGCTTTAAAATGGCACGACTTTTATCTCACTACCATTCATAATTAAGGAGATATGGGGACTTCAAATGTGCCCAAGACTTTTGGAACACCCTGTTTGTCTGGAGCCGCAAAAAAATAAAAGCCTTCTATAAACCTTGCAATGAAGGAAACACATGCTGTATGTATGTATGTATGTAGGAGACTGGACTGTCTCAGAAATGTTATTTATTCCTTTGTTGTGTGTTCACAAACGCCCCCATAGCATTTATTTTGTGATTTCCTCGCTTGATTTTCTATTTTGGTGTATTATTTTCGCTTTTCTTGGTGTCATTGAAGTGATCATTAATTTCCGTTTTTCGGAGGCTGTCTTTGAACGCCTCTCGAGTCGAGCGAGAGGAGAGAAGGCACGGAATCGGATGCAAAACAGACACGTCTTCTGTGTTTGTCGAGACTGTTAAAAGCATAAATAAAGTGTACGTTTTAAAAAACCAACACCACAGCTCTCCTTTTTTTTTGGAGCTGTAACATGAATCGATATCTACATGAGCTACATTAGCCTACTATCAAAATGACTAAGTTTGTTAGAATTACAGTACACGATGAGCCTTCATGATTAAATGGTGTTTTTTTTTTCGTGCAGTGCATTCTGTAGAACAGTGGTGCCCAACCTTTTGTGACTGAAGATCTACTTTTCGTTGAACCAACCTACCGCGATCGATCCACGCATACACAACACACTTACAGACTTACCTACCTTCATCAAGATCTGACGTGGAGGCATGGGACTCACTTTTGCAGCGTTTTTGACTATCGTAGCTCATGTGTGCCATTTTAAAAATGCTTTTCACGGGCCTCCAGATTCTCTTTGCCAGTACCCTCCTTGGATTGTACATGAAACACTGTTTTTGTTTTTGCAACAGCCACCTGCCTTGCATCACGCCCTGCGAATAGAAACGTGTGTCACAGGCTATGACGCAAATCTTCGTTGACAGAAACGTTGAAATGTAATATTTATTGTACACATTTTTACAGCATTGGGAAACGTTAAGAATGTTTGTGTCATGTTTTTACTCCTACAGAAACCATATTTAAAACAAAAAAAAATAAATTTCCCTTCCACATCTTTTCCCATTTTCAAACATTTTTTATAAAGCTCCAGGGAGCCACTAGATGGCGCTAAAGAGCGGCATGCTGCTCTGGAGCTGTGTGTTGCCGACCCCCGATCTAACACAAAGGCTTGTGTGCAGGAAGTTGTATTATTCCAAGACAAAACCGACATTGCATGTTATTGTGTCCCCATGAAATCTGCTAAAAGTTGTTAGCCCCCCGCCCCCAAAGCTGATACACCCATCCCTCACCTCCAACCGAGTCGTCCTCTACAAGTGATGTTGAGGAAGAATGTTTCTCTTTGTGTCCTGGACTGAACAAGCCTGTCCCCAGAGTGGGTGCATGTGTGTTTGAAAGTGGGTGAATTGTGTGTATGTGGCACTTGGGTGCGGAAGGTTAAAGTCATTTGGTGAGTCCATGTCCAGACCGGTGAGAGAATCAGTCGACACCTGGAAATGAAGTTGGGCAGGTGCTTAAACCCTCCTGCACAAGGGTGGATCCTCCTCTCTCGAACACCCCATTGAGTACTTGGTTCAAATTTGCTGCATTTGTAACAGTATTTGAGAGAGGGTTTTATGTTACGGTCTGTATTTGTTTCATTTTGAAGTAGTTGGGATTTGTCCCTTCCCAACATCCATTACACATGTCATTAAAACGACAGTTCGTAACCCTGTTCAACACATTTTTAATACATACCAGTTATTAAAATCAGAGATGCAGGTAAACTCTCCCAACTTGACATTTTTTTTTCCTCTCGCACATCAGGTTTGTTTTCAGACTATTAATAACATATTAAGTGACATTTTTAATATGTAATAGAGTCAAATATTTGTAATATTT